TTTTTTTTTTTTTTTTTTTTTTTTTTTTTTAAGATATTTGTTTGAGGCAGGTAAGGTATTACAGTAAGAGCGTGAGCCTTGATCTCTTGTTTTTTTGGCTTCTATGGACATATAACGTATGACCAAAAAAGATGAAAAAACAAGAGAAATATGCAAAGCAACATTAAGCCCTATCAAAAGAGAGCAAAAAATATGCGAAAAACGGTAAAATTTGTTTAAAATATTACTTCACGGATGGTTTTGTTGGCGACAGCACGAATATCACCCGGCGGTGGTTCCACAATTGGACGATTCGTTTCTACCGTAATATAACCGCTGCTACTAGGACTAACGATGATGCTCGTTGGCGGCACCGAGCGCTTCGATTCCGAGTTCATATTCACAGCAGCTGGCTCTGGTAAAGAAATCACTGTATTTCGGCTGAACAGCATTTTGTTCGATGACGTAACCACGTCACTGAGCAGCAAACGATTGATCGAAAATTTTCTTTCTGCTTTTAGAGGAAACAAAAACCACAGTGTTATTTTAAAAAAAGTGCACAAAAATTATATGTGGGCACAGGAATTTACCAAAAAACACAAATTTCGACCAAAGGGCTAAAATTCAAAAAACACCTCCGTTCAAACATCTCATGGAGCGAAGAAAGAGGGAAATGCTGAGAAATATACGACATTCTCTTGTCGTAGGAAGTTAAATACACAAATGATTGGCGAACTGTGGAGGGTAGGGAAGGAGGTGGAAGAGGAAGGAAACGTCCCAGCACCAGGAACACATGTAATTCTAAAATAAACTTCATTGATAATATGCTTCTGATTCTTCTAAGACCGGTGTATTGGCGACATCAAGCTGCCATTGGTATACTCCAAAAACGACAGTTCATCCAGAGTTTCTTATCCTTTGATCAGAGTAGTACAACCTTATTAATTCTTTTATCACTCCTTTAAGATCTTTCCCTTTAAAAGCCTTGGGGAGTTTCTTTTCAATTTCGGAAATGTCTCGTAACAAATCGCTTAGAAGGCAGCGATTTTAAAATATAGGAGTGGAGCCTAGACTCAAGGAAGTGAAGCGGAGATTCGACTCTAAGAAATATATTTGAACCAGAGATAAAGCAGGTCAATAAAAATCAACTCTTTTTTTTACAGAATTCGAAAACACGGTGATCTTGAGAACGGCGAAGCCCAGGTCGGATTCTTTCTTGGGAATTGCCATGCGGATCCACTGCTCGACTCAACTAATAATGTTTACCGAGGAACTAAATTCGATAAGAAGAGGCGGTGCCCTGACATAGTACCCGCTCGCACGCTAAAAATAGTTGGCCCTCCCACACAGACAAGACAAAATTCAAATATTCTTTACGCGATGGCAACAGTAAATGTCTGTAATGAGGAGGGTCAAGATTAATAATCAGGGTAAGTTTCGCTGATGTTCCTTGCTCGGAGATGGTGAGAGATGTGGGGTCATCTGAATAGTGGAGTTGAGAGGTCATAGTGTTACTAAAGTGATGGGATGAGAAGTCCGTATTTTATGGTAGGAGCCATACGCAATTAATGATGGGAAGAGTTGTGGATGCTGCTGACCTCGAGAAGTGAGATGTAACCTTTGAACTCAGCAGTATTTGCTAAGACAGGAAGAAATCCTCTATTTTCACTAATACCTATTTCAATAATTTTGTTACACAAATTTGGCTTTTCTTAGCTGCATTTTTTGAAATGAAACACGGAACTTGTTGTGGAAGAAAGGTAGCGGCGACCTAACGAGTTGTGGAACGATGTATGGCAAGTGCTTACAAGTTGCAGCACATCTCCAGTAAAGTAGTGAGGCCCTGGTCTAGCACAAGAGAAGCACCAAGGCAGTGTGTGCTAAGAAGAGCTAGGCTAGTCATGTGGCAAAAATGACAAATAAGAAATGGACAACAAAGTGATGATATATTTATGTAATGCCGAAAAAAAACAAAAGGTTCTAGAAGATGGAAAGTTCAAAGTAGAGGAGAATGGAGAAGCTGCTAGCTGCATCAATAGCAAGGAGGAAGGCGACGAAGAAGCTGATCAAGTATTCGTCATTCAGGAGTCGAAGACTTTGGCGAGTACTGCAAAAGGAAGTCCAGGGAAGCAACGGAGCAAGAATTGAGCATATGAAACGAATGGCAAAAGGCGCAACTTGCATCAAACAATTCATCAGTATACGTATACAAAAAAAAAGCCGGAAGAGAACATTGAAAAAAATGCCTGGATGAAAGAAATGTTGCAATTCGATAAGTAATTAACTCTTCTCACCTGTCGTCCGTCTTCAACATTCCTCCTTTTTCTACCTCACAGTTCATCACTGCATCGACTTTGACGCTGCCTAATGTCAAAGCACGTAATCAGGCAAAGCAATACTGAATAAAAATGCGGCCATGAATCTGTGCGGGAAATGAGAAACTCATAGAAATAGCCGGTGCACGGCTTGTGTGATCTCTTTGACTGTCAATATTGGCCGTAACTGTGGATAAGTCACTGGTCAGAGCCAACAACTAACTGACACGTCTAGACTCATGACGGCAATATTTCCTTTTACAAATTTTTTTTACAATTTTTTCTTTTACATATCTTTCACTTCCGATAATAAAAACCTGTCCAATCAATTCAGACTAATCAAACAAATCTCCGAATAAAAGGCCGTTATTACTGGAAGAGACAAATTAGTGAGAAAAATGCTGGAATGCTAAGCGAATTCATAGAAATTACAAGTCAAGCAAGTGAAGGATTAGAGATATTTCACGACTATAAATGCAGATGCATTAAATAGAATAGCCGCAGATGGTAAGTACATGATTGGGAGCGCCCTTATCACAATCAGAAATAGTTAAGCTAGCATTTGGCTGTGCCCATATCCTTTACAACACACTCAGGAATCGAAGCACTCCTCACTTCTTGGAAATGATTATTGGATCGCGAAGAAATTGAACCACTCGTCTTTACATCCGGACGCGACGTGCTAGACCACTGCACCACGGCCCTTCTACTTCGTGCACTTGCTGGAACATCTATTTTCTGTATGTATGACTGTTCTCCAAACATACTCCGCGTCTGCGGTTGCTACACACTATGCAGCACACCCTTTCAACAGTTGAGGTTTCCTGCATGATTTCCATGACAATATTCAAAATCTTTTCCCACCCAAAATTGCGTGAATTATCCGAAAAAAGAGGCGAATCCACAGACTGAAGGAATGTGTTTTCCGCTTTTGTCGACTGCGAGATCTATTGCACTTTGTCCATGTGTTTATCATGTGCGTTAAGCACTGAATCATTCAAAGTATGCACAATGCTCTGTATTTCGAGACTCCTTGTATTTCACCCCTTCTTCTTTCTTAGGGGAAGACACTTGGAAACGAACCCATCTGCGACGTTTCGTCAACAGAATCCGGAAACTCGCTAGCATGGGTTTGTTTGTTGATCGATTTCATTTTGAGGTTTTTTATTTTTTGAGAAGCGATCTGATGACAGGATACACTGTGATCTGATGAGGGTGAGGAGGAACTTAAGCAGTGAGTGCTGGAAGTTAGGATTCAAGCAGTGTGTAAAGTTTATACTGTAAACCCGACAATGAGATCATCAACACATACTAACTGAAATACGAATAACATTCACACTTGCTCAAACAATAACGTGCTCCCTATTTGTTTGAACAATAAAGTGGCTCAGTTGCTTGAACAACAACATGCTTTACTTGTTTGCTCAAACAATAACATGCCTTCAGGGTAGCAGAAAAAAGTGTTTTTGATCAGATTTACACAGTGAAACAATGTAGCACATCATGCTTGCTAGAAGCAAATGCATCTGCCTCGAAAGTGCGCGGCCTCAAGCTAAATGACCTCGTGTAACATCAATACGCGTAAATTTGAAACTGGTAAATTGAAAAAAAAAAAAGAAAACAAATCGAGGGGTTCAGCAGCCGCAACGAGGGTTTAAAATCTAAGACTTTCCAGTGGCAATTAACCAGAAATAATCAGCGCATGTGTTGAATTTTGAAGCCTCATCCTCCCAATTTTTTCTCAAAAATGTTTAGCAAGGAAAGGAAAGAACTGCAAAAATA